CTCAGGAAAGGTTTTTCCAGATAAGTTGTAAAGAATGTGTATTTTTTAATGACAGGTATTTTATCATCTCTAGCCATTCAGGTTATAGGTGTGGGATCCTGTTTTATATGGCACCCTGCTACTGTGGAACTTTTCTTTTAGCTGTTTGAGTTAGAAAGTCTTTGCCAAACAAAACAGTAGGAGGGAAACTGTAAAAAAGCTTTAAAATCCTAAAAACAGAAATAAGTGATCAAACAGCAATCTAAACATAAACTAGAGGACTATTCCCATGACCTACGTTTGAAGGAAAAATATAAGATGCAGAGAATTAATAGAATACCAATTTAGAGCCACACACATTGTCCTTAAAAGTAGAAATTATTTTAACCAATATATATGTAAGCTGTTGTTCTAAAATTATCATCGAAAATCTCAGATGTTATTTTAAGTAGACAAGTCTGACCTCATAAGATATTTTTTCTAAAATAAGAGAGTAATATAAAATTTCAAAAGAGAAATTTTAAAATGCTCTGCTCAGATAAGCTCAGTGAAATCTAAAATCAAATTGCAAAAGTAGAATATCCTCAATATCTGCCTTTGACAATATTTGATACAATACATAGTAAGTGACTGATATAACTTTGGAAGATGAATTTTATATCTTTCTTGGATTCAGGCACACTGATCTTTTACAAGTTTGTGATTTATTTAAACCACTTAAATATTTGGGATGTATGTAACCAGATGAATATTAAAGTAAAATATATAACATAGTCTTTAGTATTTGAAAGGCAGAGTGTCTTCAATTATTCAACTTGAGCTCAACTCAATATTGTAACTATACACATACTTTAATCTTCAGAATAAAGGCTGGTTATCAGAAAAGGCAGTTAACTTGTGTGGAGCCCAAGATCAGCCAGTAAGTCTATCTTTAGCCATTCCCTTAAGTAACAGCAGTGAGCACTGGTCAGGAGTCAGGTGCTCTGGGCTGTGGGCATTCATACACTGGGACAATTCACGTGCCGTATAATCTCCAACACTCCAGTACTGCAGGCATTGCTGCTGGGATTTCCAAGGTTCAGAGAGGTTAAGTCACTTACTCAAGTTCAAGGCAGAATGTGAACAGGGACGGAGTTTTAGAAGCACTTCCTCTCACCACAACTGTCCTCAAAATCTATGTGGGGGAATTCAGTCACTTATTCAGTAATACTTTGAGTCTAGGAAGAGTTCATTAAATTTCAATAGGTTAAGCCCTAAATTCAACCTGGGAACAAACCTAGAATAAATCACATCATTTTATAGTCCCATCACATGTATCTACTTAATGTGAGGTCAGGAAGCATTTTCCAATTACTTCTCACAAAAGGACTGCCTTTTTCTTTCTTTTGTCCATCTTTTCTCTTAACTAGCTATGCAACAAGTGTGGCCTTCTAGAAAGGATTTCCCCTTCATCCTTCTTAATGTCACTGGGTATGTCCTAAATCAGTTTAAAAAATAATCTATCATCAATTTCCACTATTGCACAATACAAGCATATGGCCATGAACATTACAATAGGAAAGACTATTTTGCAGGCAGCTTTGTAAAACCGCTGAAAAATAAGAGAAGTTTGAAGATGGCTAGCAATATTTAGTGTTTGCAATATAACTTTGGTTGGTCAATATTTGTGAAATAATATTAGCAAAATCTATTCTCTTTTATAACACTAATTCTAAAGTTATAGTAGCCTATCTAGTTTCTCTCCAGCAATAATCAAATATGTGAAATTAGCAAAGACCGTATCAAAGATAGAAGTAACTTGATGAAGATAAAAAGAATAAAAAGGTCTAGCATTCATTTAAAATTATTAGTGGCTAGTGAAATAATGGCTAGCATTTTGCAAATTGACAATTTTAAGATCATATGTCCAGCTTAATCAAACTAATAGTGTTGTCCTAAAAAATATTTTTGTGACCTTAATTATACAGGACCACATACATGAACAAAGTGAGAGTTAATTGCTCATAACAGAGAATTGAAAGTAATATGGTATTGTTCTCTCAGACTGATTGATTCATTATTTATTTTATAATTATTTATTGAGCACAAACTTACTATGTACCAAGAAACGGGTATACAGTGATGAGGAAAAGATAAAACATACATAAATGTAACCCTCTATGAAAGGTGACATATTATTATTACTCTTAATCCTCTTGTGGCTTCTGTTACTTCAAATGTAGTACAATTAAAATGCCTTTCATGTTTTAAGACTTGTTGATCTAATTGAGCTCTAACTGCAGAGAAACGCAGAAATGTAGATGTATATAAGCAAATATAGGTAAAATCCTATATGGACAAAGAAGCAGGACATGTAGAAGGAGGACAAGAAGCAGCTTGGTTTAGCAGTAACTTCCACAGAGTAATACAGTTAATAGTAGTACAGTTAACGCTGAAAAGGGAAAAAAGGGAACAGGTATAAACAGTCTTGAATACCCAACCAAAATTTCTAGGCTTTGTCAATGGAAAGAAGGGACCCATTAAAGAACTCAGAAAGTGACTTTGTGACCTTAAGACAGAAATGTCATTTGACCCAGCAATCCCATTACTGGGTATATACCCAAAGGAATATAAATCATTCTATCATAAAGACATATGCATCTGAACATTAATTACAGCACTATTCACAATAGTAAAGACATGTAATCAACCCAAATGCCTATAAATGTTAGACTGGATAAAGATAATTTACTACATATATACCATGGAATACTATGCAGCCGTAAAAAGAATGAGGTCATGTTCTTTGCAGGGACGTGGATAAAGCTGAAGGCCATTATCGAACACATTAGCACCTTAACACAGCAATAGGAAACCAAACACTGCATGTTCTTACTTATAAGTGGGAGCTAAATGATGAGGACACATGGACACACAGAGGGGAACAACACACACTGGAGCCTATTGAAGAGTTGAGGGTGGAGGAGGGGAGAGGATAAGGAAAAATAAGTAATGGATTCTAGGCTTAGGACCTAGGTGATGAAACAATCTGTACAACAAACGCCCATGACAGATCTGTACCTAAGTTACAAACAAGCACTTGTGCCCCTGAACTGAAAAAGAAAGAGAAAGAGAGAGAGAGAGAGAGAGAGAGAGAGAGAGATGGAGAGAGGGACGGAGAGAGGGAGGGGCTTCCTTGTGATGGGACTATAAAATGATATGATTTATTCTAGGTTTGTTCCCTAGTTGTGAATAAAATTCAAAAGATTAATTTATAAAAGGAAGAAAAGAAGGAAGGAAGGAAGGAAGGAAGGAAGGAAGGGAGGGAGGGAGGGAAGGAAAGGAGGGAAGGAAAACAAATAAGACTTTGTGAAAGCTAATATTTCTGGAAGATTATTTTACAAGAAAAGTATAAAGAATGGAGGAACAGTGCTTGTAAATATCATTTAAAAGAGTACTGCAATAATTTTTTAATGAGAGTCTGAATCACTAATGTATCAATGGGACTGAAAAGAAGAGACAAGTATAGGCCATATTGAAAACGAAGACATTTCATACATCAGTGTCTGTTGTGGACCGAATGTTTGCATCTTCTCAAAATTCTTATGTTCAAATTTTAACCTAATGTGATGTGATGATATTAAAAGGAGGGGTCTTTGGAAGATAATTTGGTGATGGGGGTGGAGCCCTCATGAATGGTATTAGTGACATGATAAGAAGAGGCATGGGTGTGCTCCCTGTGTCTGCTCTCCACCGTATGAAGATACAATGAGAATGTGGCCATCTACAAATGAGGAAGTGGGTGTTCACCAGATGTGGGATCTGCCAGCGCCTAAGCATTGCACTTCCCAGCTTCTAGAACTGTGAGAAATAATTATCCTGCTATTTAAGCTACCCAGTCTGCTATTCTGTTATATATGGTCAGTATCCCTCACTGACCATGACAGTCATGGGGTATAAAGACAGCTCTTTAAAGATTCAAGTCCAGGGTTTTAAAGGAAAGAGTTGCACTCCTGGCATGAAGCAGGATGGAAAATAAATTTGATTTTAACCCCGTGAGATTGAGGTGGAGATGGTACATCCACCTGAAGCTTATCAGGGAAGGCAGGACTAGAAATGCAAATGTGTTGTCCTCATAGATGTGACTGTTAGTGTTGGAAAGATAGCCAAAGAAAAGAGGATAGGCAAAGAAAAGTACTGAAAACAGAATCTTAGGGGAGCCTTAAACTAAGAGGTGAAGAGAGATGTCAGAGATGACAGAGAAAGACCAATTGGGAAAATAACTGATTCATTAGAGAATAATGGAAACTAAGGAAATGATATCAAGAGTAGTTGGTGAAACTAACTGCTGTGGAGAAATTAAGGGATCCAAGGACTGGGATGAGGAAGAGAGAGTATCACACTGGTTGATGATTACTAGTGATGTTTCAAAGATCAGTCAAGTCTCAGAAGTGATGACTGCTGCCACATGCCAGAAAACTTGATTGAAAGCTGTATCATTTTGTCATCTTTCAAGGCAAAATTCTAGATGACTCTCTGCTTTGTCTTCAATTACCTATTTGATGCTGTATCCCTATAGCAAATACAAGTGTCAAAAAAAAAAAAAAAAAAGCAAAGAAAAAGGAGTATGTCTCTCCATTTCTCACTCTTTAATGTGGGATTCTAGAAGGAAGCTATCAGGATACTTAGTATCATTTGCTTCTAACAGACAAAATGACTCATGTATTCAGAGATGTTCAGATTATTTAGAAAATCAGCCATAAAATGATAAAGATAGGGCAGACCCCCTAAAATGCTGTTCCAAGGCCTTGTCCCCTATCCATGATATAGAACTATACTCACACAGGCTTAGTATAAAGTTCCAAGTAACTTTTAGGATGTCATTAAAGGGTTTCTATTTAATCATATCATAGTCCACAGGCTAATATTTTGTAAGAAAATGGAAAATTAGTCATTATATCAAGTTAATATCACAGCATTTACTAAATAATTTTTGGTGAAGTTGAATTAAGATCTAATTAAGAAATTGCGGGTTTACATACCTGTGGTACCCATCTGGAAGACACAAAGCTAGTCACCTCTATTACAGACAAGCCAGTTTGGGAAAGTCGATTGATAAATTCAATTTTTATATCTGTAGGAACTATAACCTATAAAAACAAAAGGAAATATTGTATAAGTAAATTATATAGGGTCTATTGAAGTACAAACAGAAAATTCCTAAGTCAAAGTGAGTGTTATTTGTAATTTATAAATTCAAGTAGCAAGTGACAAAAAATATATAATCATGTAACATATGAAATCCATGTAAATCTTTAAAATCTTAAACCTATTACTATTTAGACAGCATTTGAAATAAATGGTGTAAAACTACCTTTTCATTCTGCAATCCATCCCTGGGTCCAACTTCTACTATTTTAACAAACTCAGGGAGTCCAGATGACTGGGATGTTTCCTGAAATGCAAAACATAAGTACAAGAAAATATAACTTTTAGATTGTTACACTTGCTTATTTGAAAAGTCAAACAATTGTACTTTCTTATACTCTTACCCCAGAGAATTAAAATAGTGAGAAATCAACACAATGATATGAAAATACACCATTTATATTGCTTACAACATGAAGTTTTTTTTTCTTATAACTAAGTGATATTTAGCCTAGTTGTGAAAAAAATTCAAAAGATTGATTAATAAAATATAATTGTAGAATATTTACTTGGGACTTAAACAGCAAATCTGTTGGGTGATTCTGTGTATGACTATAAATTGACCACCGTTACGTTTATTTAAAAATTACATATTGGTCAGTGGTGTTGGCTCATGCCTGTAATCCCAGAACTTTGGGAGGCTGAGGTAGGCAGATCACAAGGTCAGGAATTTGAAAGCAGCCTGGCCAACAGAGTGAAACCCCATCTCTACTAAAAATACAAAAAAGTAACTGGGCGTGGTGGCGGGCACCTGTAATCCCAGCTACTTGGGAGGCTGAGGCAGGATAATTGCTTGAACTTGGGAGGCGGAGGTTGCAGTGAGCTGAGATCACACTACTGCACTCCACACCGAGGCCACAGTATAAGACTCCATCTCAACAACAGTAACAACAACAACAAAAGCAGCAATGAAAATTATATCTTAAGCCAGGTGCTGTGGCTCATGATTGTGATACTAGCACTTTGGGAGGCTGAGGCATATGAATTGCTTGAGCCCAGGAGACTGAGACCAGCCTGGGCAACATAGTGAAACCTCATCTCTATTAAAACACACACACACACACACACACACACACACACACACACACACACACACACACACGCTAGCCAGGCGTAGTGGTGGTGCATCCTGTAGTCTCAGGTACTCTATTTGGGAGGCTGAGGTGGGAGGATTGCTTGAGTCCAGGAGATCAAGGCTGCAGTGCGGAGTGACTGTGCCACCGCATTCCAGCCTGGGTGACACAACAAGACCCTGCCTCAAAAAAATAAAATTACATCTTTAAGTTAAAAGACTACTTCTACTTCCACAAAGAGGAATACAAGATGCCATCCTCTATACCTTGAACTTGAATGTGGATTTATTTTTGAAGATTGGGCCCAGAAAACTGAGAGGTAGAGAAGACAGTGTGCTGTTTATTTATTTATTTTTTTAATTGTACTTTAGATTCTGGGGTACATGTGCAGATCATGCAGGATTGTTGCATAGGTACATACATGGCAATGTGGTTTGCTGCCTCCATGCCTCTGTCATCTATATCGGGCATTTCTCTCCATGTTATCCCTCCCCAACTCCCCACCCCCCTGCTGTCCCTCCCCAATCCCCCGCAACACACCTCAGTGTGTGATGCTCCCCTCCTGTGTCATGTTTTCTCATTGTTCATCACCCACCTATGAGTGAGAACACGTGGTGTTTGATTTTCTGTTCTTGTGTCAGTTTGCTGAGAATGATGGTTTCCAGATTCATCCATGTCCCTACAAAGGACACAAACTCATCATTTTTTATGGCTGCATAGTATTCCATGGTGTATATGTGCCACATTTTCCCTGTCCAGTCTATCATCGATGGGCATTTGTGTTGGTTCCAGGTCTTTGCTATTGTGAACAGTGCTGCAATGAACATACGTGTGCATGTGTCTTTATAATAGAATGATTTATAATCCTTTGGATATATACCCAGTAATGGGATTGCTGGGTCAAATGGAATTTCTATTTCTAGGCCCTTGAGGATTCGCCACACTGTCTTCCACAATGGTTGCTGTTTATTTTTTTTCTGTGTCACACAGCACAGTTACCACCTAAGTGCCACTCCCTGAAAGATAGACCCCTAGTGGAACCTAAACCACAGGAACCCACTGGGAGCAGCCTGGCTCCAGCCAAATGTAGCAAACACCTTGTTCTACCTCTTACTAAAATCTGACATGGCAAATGGTCTGGTTTCTGAAACCTCTGCCCCTAGACTAGGTATTATGGATCTAGTATAGAAGATATATTTGCCTTGTAAATATGCCCATTTAGAAGGCTATTGTTTAAAATAGGGGGAAAATAAAGCAGCCTTTGAAATTTTATATTGTAGTTAAATCAGAAGCATACTCCATCTTTTAGACTGTACCAACATAATCTCTTGGTACCTCTGAGGCGAGTTAAGTTTGGGTAACCCACCAGCAAGTTCTTCAAGAGAATAGTTGACAGAATCAGCCCAGCCCCACAGAATCTGTGTTTAAAAGGTTTTTGTTTGCTTGTTTTTGCCTTTCATCAGGAATGATAAATTCAAGCCAACCAGTTATTGTCTCACTCTGTCCTTGTAAAAATTACGGCATACATGGGTAAGGTGGCTGTTTTGAATGCAGAACCAAATTCAAATCAGTGGCACAAAAACATATTCAAGAACCATTTTTAGGGTCCATAGCTTTGGCTGGTATTATCAGCATTCTGAGCTATCAGCAAAGAAACCCTGATGGTCCTGGTTACAATGTTTACAGATCACTCTCCACAATTCCCATGAAATTAGCAATTCAATAGCAAAAAAGCAACCTAGAAGAAAAAGAACGCTAATTTCTGCGTTTTCTGTGCAGATTGTGATGTATGAAGTTAACTTGAGAGAGTGGAGGGATGAGAGGAAGACCCGGGGTTCCTCAGCCTGAGACTCCATTTGGATGACAATCATGAAATCAGGCCTAGTTTACAAGGTGTCTGTAATAATAATAGTATAGAATAATGAGTATGTTATGATAATTATATAATTATATTAATAATAATTCATATGAAAGTAATGAATCATTCAACAAAAACTCCTGCCCGTAACTAGCTTACATTTTAGTGCTACAGTGATCTGGAAGCTACTGTGAGGCAGGGATGGGGAGGGATGTTTTTCTTATACACTGAATATATGAAAATTAATGAATGACTTGTAAGTTACAAGGAATTGAGTTGTGTTTTACTGTAGTCTGGAGAAGTTAGAAACATACTCCTTAAACAGGCCAATAGTCTAAAATTTATTTTTACGGCATTAAATGTCCTATGTTACAGAACTCAGTGTATCCTGTTTAATGTGCAGTAAGTATAGTGTATGATACTAGCGAAAAAACAAAAGATGTTTTATCCAGAGTGAATGTTTCAAAAGGCTCTGTTTTATGGCTGAATGTATGCCCACATGTGGCATCAGATTTCTAATGGTTCACTTTCATAGAGTAACAACAAAAGAAACACTATCTTGCATTTATATGTTACTTTACTTTCCCAAAGAACTTTTCTATCTACATTTCATCTGTGAAGCTACTCTGTGAGGTAGGCAGACCTGAGAGATTAAATGACTTCCTAAGTTTACCTAGCTAAGTTCCCTGGCTCTTATTCTAGTTTTCTTTAGGTTAAGATTAAATACATCACCAACTATTGAGTTATGGTTGAAGAAAATAATAATGAATCATTCTTTTATACAGAACATAAGTAATGTGCTTCACTCACATTTTTCAATCTTACATAAAATTAAATGGAAGGAGTATTTTGAAGGGAATTTCTCTGAAATCTTTAGAGTGTGTGTGGGTGTATGCCAGTGTGTACGCTTGTGTATGTAACATATACATTTCTCAGCAATAATAATGGTTGACTTCTATATATACAGTCAACCCTTTTCACGGTGATAGATATGATTGCTTATTAGTCACCCTACAAATTCTGCTTTTTTCCCCTAGGAAAATAATATCATCTATAGTAGAAATTTCTAGACAGATTCGCTTAGGTTTCATGCACTTCATTTCTTGAGGAATAATTTTTTTGTGTAAGTGAGGTCTTTATGAATAGTGAAATATCCTATTTCATTGCCAGTATTCCTAGTAACTGCTATGATGTTCAAATCAAATGTTCCCATTACACAGATAAGAGGTCTGAATCAGGAAATTGTGACTTCCTTTCAAAATTAAATTGAGACTTTTTTAAGGGGGCATTAGAGATCAACTTTTCCAAAAGAATCTATTTTTGTTGTCTCATTTGAAATATGCACATGGTGCATTTTGTGGTAATGTTAAACTCTCCAATTCTGCTATTTGTTATATCTTGGATATTAATTTCTGTTTTAATCAACTATAATCAGAAACACATAAACTATTATCATTTATAAAGCAGATATCCATAGTAGCCTTGGTCCTCCAGAGCAATCAAAAGACATTTCTTTTCCTGGGTGTCTCTCTACAATGGAAGGTTGACTTAACAAAGCTAATAGTGAAACCTTTCTTTCAGAATACCTATGTGCCAATGTTGATTCACAGGCATAGACTGTACTGCCAATAATAAATTATTATTAAGCTGCAATCTTTGGCAGTTTAATAATAAATTATTTGTAACTATGTAAAAATAAGTTGTAATGTATTATTATGTTATCTAAGACTCCATGAACAATAGGTCTTAATTTACTAAATCAAAAAGTAAAGGAAAGTATCTGCTTACTTTCTAGCAGTTTTTGGACAGCCAGAAGAGAAGTGGAAACTGTGCTTACTTTGTTTTCAACAGCCTTCAGTAAAAGCTTTAGCAGAGATTAAAAACAAGCTCTAGAAATGTCAAAATCCCTCTCTATATGTATATTAATATTCATTCTTGGAACTCAATGGAAAATCAGTGCAGAGTATGAGTGGAGACATACAGCATAAATAAATATGATTTCTTCTGGAAATATATGCATTTTATGAATGCAAATCAATCAAGAGTAGTTACAAAAAATCATAGGAAAATTATATAAGGGGCATTTGCCACGTATGGCAGATTGAAATGTAGTAGAAAAGTGGACAAGATAAGAGCATCTAAAATTGCTTATTAAATTTTTTGAGTGAGATTTTTAGCATCTGTACCATATGCGTTCACTTACTAGTTAAATAAATTCAATTTTTTAAAAGTATCTTGAGCAATAAATGCATTCAGGTGTTTAATATTCATCAAGTATTGTTTTAATATAAAACAACTATTATGAATAAAACAAAC